ATGCTTAAGAGTCAAATACTATGACGGTGATAGGGAGCAATTGCATACGATGGCTCTCGCAATATAGCTCAATCTAATGCGGATTTAGTTCAAGTCTTAATTAATTATGATTCAATTCATAATTATCGACTATGAACAATTTATGATTACTATTTATATTCATGTATTGATCGTCATCACATACATATATAAATATCTCTTATAATCAAGAGGACACTATTAATTCTATAATGAATTGAAACATAATACGTTAAATTCACCAATTGTACAAAACATAAATATTTCAGAAACGTTAGGAACATATATCACTTTAATCTAAACAGGAATTTGTTATGCCAGGGCATATAAATCCCAACACTTTCGGCATTACACGATTTCAATCAATCACAACCCGATATAGTTGCGTGTTAAATTTTGATTGGCTCGGATCATGTAATCTCAAACCATGTAAAAATTTCTCCAACTTTATGCCAGCTTTATTTAATTTTTTTTACTTAGGTTTTAAGGAAATTTCTAAAATACCCCATAGGTATTGTAAAACATCTCAAGTGTCGAAAAATTCTAAAATATCTCGGGAGTACAGTACTCCGCAGTTCTCAATCATTAAATGTTATGGCGGAATCTATCTAATGGATGACCTAACGATTGAAAAACTTTAGAAATAAATTAACGATTATTGAGGACCACCATTAATCCCTGTCAATCATAAATTATCACTTAATTAAAAATATATATATTATATTTAACTTTTAAATTGCATGACAGTATGTGATTAACCGAAACCACTCATCCAAAATGTAATAATTTTTCCTGTATGTTGCGTTGCGCTGATGTTGTCTATACAAGACAAATTAATAATTTGTCTATACAAGAAGGTCTCTGTCCTTTTCCAAGTGTGCTCTCAATTGCTTAAAAAGAAATTGCAAGGGGAATGAATCTTAATGTAAACGAATTCTGTTTTTTACTATATCCTCACAATATGTGGATGTGCATGAAATAAAAGTCTCATCAAAGCAAGGACACAATTATATAAATTATTTAATATGGGTCGAATGATGGTGTTAATCGAGGAAGGTTCATGAATACTTTTCTTGTCAGGAAGGTTCATGAACTTAAACCATATATACAGAAGAAAAGTTAAAATCTATTGTCAAATGTTGAATTGTTATATGGTTCATGTTTCAAGTGCTGCTTTCTTTTTTCAAACATGCATGTATCAAAAGATTAATAAGGTTTTTTAATAAACATTGACTAATGTCTAGGAATAATCATTCATTTTGTGCTAGATTCTAGCAAAAGTTTGTTCTCCTGGTTGAAATTTATTGTGCGCTTACTATTTGGGCCATCTGTCTGCTGCTTACTAGTCCAAAACCCACCTTAAATTACACATTAAGAGAAGAGTAGAAGACCTGTGAAAAGACTTGCCAAGGGCCATTAAGTCCGAGAAGAAACTTTTCATAAATAACCAGGATATAATATCACTTAATAATTAAATATTAACACATAATGATATCGCGTCTTGAAATAGTTATATTCTTATGTTATAAAATACGATTAATTAATAGTACTGATGTTATAGAAGAGGTGAGGAATTAGAATTCAGTAGTGGGTAGTTTGTGATATGTGTGTGTGAGAGTTGTGAGGTCGTGAAGGGTTCGAGTTTCGTAGTGGGTAATTTGTGAAATATGTGTGTGACTTTCTTGTTCCGTTCTAGTTTAACATAATAAAACTTGTTTTCGCCAAAAACGGAATAATAGATGATAACGAATATTGTTGATATTAAGGAAACTTAAGACGGGGATTTCTTATATATTCCAAATTTTATGGGTCCTCGATGAATACTAAAGTTTAAGCAAACATCCTTTTCTGTTTTGGGAATTAAAACGAAGGGTGACCAGTCCACCATAGGATGTTGCAAAAATCTACCTATATCCAGCAAATGCTTATGATTTTGGGGACATAAAGTATAATTGGTGTGGAGAAAGTCAAAGATCACACAAGACCTCTGTCATGTTACTTCATCGTGTTTAGACTTTAGGACATGATGGTTGAGGTTTAAGATAAAGCTGGTTTTGGGTCCCATCAATGACTCCACACCACAGGATGATCAGACTATATACATCCACATGCATGTATGTACACCCCATGTTGAAATGTGTATGGCTTGTGACACAACTTAGCAACAAATCTAAAGCAATCTAATTTTTCTGTATTGGCCCTTTAAATAATAGTAGTGTTTAGTATAGCTCATTTTATTTTATTTTATTTTTTTTCATTGAGAAGATTTACCTGGTCCAAGGATTTAATTTACAGGCCCAATATTGTTTTTTAATATGTTGGAGAACAATATTATTGTTTTAGAAAGATCAGATAACGATGTTGTAACAATAATTATTAATTTAATCGGCCAGGTGCTAAATTTTAAAGGTATTATTATTATTGTTGTTTTTGGCGCCAAAAACAAGGCAAAAGACTACAAAACAGAACTGAGAACACCCATAAAAAAACAAGGGCCTCTCTCACCGACAATGGGTATGAAATCCAATCTAGATCAGGTAAGTTGGGCTTTGCCAAGAATTTGGGCTCTTTTAGGATATACAGTTGCATTTTCAATTATTCATTTGACAGAAAGAGAGCAAGAGAGTGGATATATATATATATATATATATATATATATATATATATATATATCTATATATATATTGTCTCTGTTTTTATTTATTTATTTATATTATTTTTTTAAAAAATTTTCATTAAAAATGAAAAATTGTTTTTTATGAACTAGTACAATATGTATAGTAAGAATAAAAAAGATCTCTTTTTCTTATTCCTCTCCACTCTCATTCTTAACATGCCCTTTTCTTGTTCATCTTCTCTCATTTTGAAATACCTTAAAATGAAAAAGAATGACATGCTTTTTAGATTAGATAAAAGTGTGTCTATATGTATATTTTGCATTACGATATGTCAAAAAATAAGTTCGTACATTTTGTAGGTGTGGGATTGCATTTTTTTCCCCTCCATGGACTGCACTTTTGGTGGCCCATCAATATATTGGGCCTGTTGGAAAGGCATTCTTTTTCTTTCACTTTCATTTTATTCTTGAGATATTCAATAATAGAAGCAAATGTAAGCCAAGACACCAATTGATTTTGTTGTGTGGGTTGTATGATTTCTTTTCTTCCTTTCAAGGGTTAGGTTAGGGAGAGTCAGATATATGCAAGTTTACCTATGCGTACGTGAGAAGAGACAAACTGTTTTCTTGATTTGAGTTCGTAACTTTTATGCTACAATAAAACAATCTTACAGTTGCGTCACATCTCAGCCTCATAATTCATTTTCTTTGTTTCTGAAACTGAAAATGAATGGTAGAGAAGAAAGGGCAACATTAGCTTTCAACTATTAATATTAATCTTGAGAGGGGTGCCCTATTCATTAGAAAAAAACAAGCTAGGATCCATATATATGTGACAAGTTGACTAATATACAAAATGTAAGGACGAAAGAGGGATGGAGTGGGGGTGAATTTATAAGCATGTGAGTGTCCTGATTACTATTTTGGGAAACAAATGGGGTCTCTCAGTTTCCTGTAATGCTTTGAACTGACCAAAATATCACATTCTATTTAAGGTAAAGCCATCATACCCAGACATTGTCGGGAACATGCAAACTATCAAGTTTTAGGGAAAGCATCCAATGACCCACATAAACAACATCTTCAAAATCATTCACATTTCAACCAATAACTTTGTGTATATCACTATATACACACACACACATCTTCTCATATATATTAATATATTATAATTATATCATCTCGATCATCACTTCCTATTTAGTTGTATAATTAATACATTTGTTATCTTTTAGAAGATATCATTGTGAAGGCAAATTTATATTTCATTTCATTTTTACAAGTTTTTGGGACGTCATTTTTGTTCTTAGAATTTAGTCTAAGCAAAATGCTACCATACAAGTGTCGAAATTTGGATTTTATATACAGAAGTCTATTTTATGGATCAGAAAATTTTCAATGATTCAAACAGAAAAAATGGTTCCATACTTCAATCATGGTCCAGATAATAAAATCCACCATTTAAAATGAATAGCTTAAATGTACAAACAGATATAATGTGTGTGTGTGTATATATATTATGTTTATGAGAATGGTAGACATCTATCATGTTGCTAGCTTGTCACCTTTTAATTTGGTTGACGTCTTGCTAATAAAATTGGTAGGTTAGAGAAGAACACGATTTGGCCTTGTACGTAATAAACAATTTATTTCTTCCTCTTCTTACTTACTGTTTCTCTATCTTTCTCATATACTTCTTCCAGAGTACTGATCAACAAGAACAATATTGGTTTTTGATTAGATAATCACAAGAGACCACCATCCACTGGATCAAAATTAGTTCTTCTACTTAAAGAAATGAACTTAGGCTCCGGTTGTTTCGACGTAAATATTTTTCTTTTTCAGATAAAATATTTTTTTATTTTTATTTTTAGGTGTTTGGCAAAGATATAGCTTGAGGTTGAGGTTGAGAACTTGTCAAAAAATTATGAGTAAGTTATTTTTGGTAGATTTTAATATTTATTTTTCTTTGTAAATATTTTACGACAACCAAACAACAATATATATATATTTAAATTTTTTTTACATCCAAACAAACGGAGCCCATTCGTGTTGCAAAGTTATTGTTTACCTAACAAACACCACAAAACCAAAACAATAATAATTATGGGAAATTAGGAAGAAAAAATTACAGTTACATGTAAAAGAAAAACTCTCTCTCTCCCTCCCTCCCTTCATATATATATATATATATATATATATATATATATATATATATAATATTGCACTTATATAATGCAGTCAAAACTTCAAAGCAACTCATGATCATGATGGAAAGGACACCAAATTTTTGGATACTATTTTTGTTGTTGTTGTTGTTGAAAAACTTCATAAAGCAAATAATTAGTAGTTCATAGGGATGAGATACTACAGGTAGCTATGATCATACTTGATCTTACATGGAAGTATCACTTAACATTTCTATGCTTCTTCATATTTCATCTTCTAGTTAAAAATATGAAAGCTGCTAACTTATACTGATCAGAATAGAGGTGATGCAATTAGGCCAAAAAAAAAAAAAAGGCAAAATATTGAAAAGGCTAGTGTCTAAAGAGCAGCAAATTAGAAGTTCAACTAAGAGTACCCAAGTCGAAGCTCCAAATCCAATTCATCCTTGCAATCGTCGAGCACTCCGATCTCCAAATCCAACCTAACATGACTCTCTGTCTTATTCAAAACATTGCATCCATCTTCTTCTGTAAAACCATCAAATTCCCGGACCACGAAAAGGGCTTTCGCAGTCTTTGTCTTCGTTAAATCTGACCCCTTCTTGCTCAAGAGCTCAAGTACCGGGGCACTGTCCATACCCCATTTCTTGTTTTGATAACTTGGAGAAGCAAAAGAAGGTGGAGAGAGAGTAGAATGAGAGGGAGACACCAAGGGTGGTAATGTGGAGGTGAATGAAGGGAACCTTGTTGGTGGAGATGATGATTGTGATGAAGATGAGAAATTAGGGTTAGGGTTAGGGTTAGTGTTAGGTTGAAGGTTAAGGTTGAGATTAAGAAGAGGGTACTGATGACCAATATCCCTTGGTGGTGAGTACTGTCTCAACCTGGCTCTATCTCTCCTGTGAACATTCATGTGTCCACCTAGAGATTGAGCAGATCTGAATTCCCTTTTGCAGAAGCTACAAGTGTAAGATCTTGGAGGCCACGAAAACTGATCTCCAAGCTGCAGATCTCCTCCTCCATGTGTAGCACTGTTTCCATTACACTCCCATGAGTCTTTATTCTTCTTACACAAACCACGGCCTTTCAAGTTTGTGCTGAAACTGTGTCTCTCCATGTGGGTTGTGAGCCAGTCAGATCTAGCAAGACCAAAGAGACAAGAAGAGTCTAGCTCAAATCATATCAATTGAAAAAAAAGTGAGAAAAAAAAAACCCTAAATTAATGCATGAAAGCAAAGTGAACCCACAAATCTCAGTAAATTATAGAGATAGAGATGAGGAAGTGACTGACCAGAGAGAGAGATATATAGTAATGATATAGAGCTGGATTTGGGGTCAGAGAAAGGAAGAGATAAGAGGACTAGTGATGATGAGGGTTGCAGCAGAGGCCATCAAATTCGAAGCCAAAAGCTGAAAATGCCATTGGAGGAGGTTTTAAACGGACCTGCAAATGTCTCCTTAATTTGTTTGGTCACTACTTACTAAATGTAGAAACTCATTCTGCCAGGTTTTCTACCTTTTTTTGCCATATCTGGCAAAGATCTAGCGGATGTTCCTTTCTTCTCTTTAAAATTTGTATGTCAATTTTTATGTAATATGATATTTATCGAACTCATATAATTGAATATAATATGTGTTTGTGAGCGTTTGTGTGTGTTTGTAAGTGATGACTAAACCAACAAAGGAGACATTAATTTTCAGGGTAATATGTCTTTACCGAATTCGAATTTTATACTATACATCTGTATATTTCTGTTTTATTAAGTCATGCATTAAGAAAGGATTTGTGACTTCTTTTGTCCGGTAATGAAGTATTTTCTGTTCTTGTTAAGAACTTTACCGTATGACAACATTTTCAGACTTCGAAGGATGCCGAATGTGAGTGTTAGATGTCAAGATGATGTCATGTGGTGGGACTTTCCACTTACATCCTCCGGTTTATCATATTGTTTAAAGCATTGTGCAAAACCTTTCAATTGTGTCATTACTGATGTTCAGCCGTCAAGTTCTTAAAATGTATATGCCTTGTTCAACATTAATTGAAAATGAACTTTAGTATATATCTAGTTAGGGCTTGGCATCATACCTTTTTTAGTTAGGGCCCAAAAAATTGAACAATGACAAAAGACTTTTATAAATCGAAAAATCATAAAAGACCCAACTCTCCGATGGCCAACTGTGACCTCAAAGCCCCATCTACTCACAGTCAGCTGTTAAAGAGTGGAGCTAGGTAATGTCACTCTTAACAAATTAGGAGGCCGGTATTGACCTTTATCAACACCCAATGAGCAAAATTTACTTTCAGATGTTTGATTTAAGGATGCACAAAAAATCATTAGAGTTGGTAAATTGTATTGGATCAATATGAAACATAAAGTTTGATTGGGTTATATGAAGAAATGATTTGTTTCCTGTTCTAAATATTGAAGAATCAATGGATCAATTTCTATTTGTGATCGAAAAACACTGAGCTGAACTGAACCGAATTGCTCGTGATAATTACATATATAATATATATATTATACAATACACAAGATCGAATGTGTGTGTGTGTGTATATATATATATATCATTTTGGTTAATATAAGCATAGATATATAATTGTGTATATATATAAATATAAGAAAATTCAAAACCTTGGAAAAAGACTTAACCAAACTAATTATCAACATTTCAATTCCACTAAATCTAACAGTTCAAATATTTTTAAAATTGTTGGGACCGATTTGGTTCTGATTCACCTTAAAATTGGACCGAAGCAAACTGTATGCACTCTAATTTGATTGGATTTTCTTACGCTACACGACCGGTCAATCTAATTGGTAGTAGCTTGAAGACCCATATCGACCCTTTCACTAATTATATAAGTGAAATTATATAAGAGATTAAGCACAATATTGTTAAATCATAGCCATTCATTTGGCATGGTCGTTTATGTCAACATAATTAATGCATATGAGTAATCGGTGCACGGAGTTACAACAGTCCAGCGACAACCAATTTCATTCAAAAACTTTGATCTAAAATGGCATAGATTTCAAAGGAGAGGAAATCTCAGTGAAGCCAGATTTTCCTTGCCATTTTCTTGAAAAAAAATGAGAGAGTTTTTTCAGAGGCCCCAAACAGACAAAAGATCCTTCCCCATTTAGACGAGATTTAGTAAAAGACTATTGGCCAATTAGATGAAACCATCCCATGCTATATATAGCTGTGATTTGATTAGGTTATACAGCCGAAATTGCAGTGATTACCCGCAGTATAACACATTGCCGTCTCTTTTAAACATATATAACCGTGATATATATACACACGCTATACATACATATACACACACAAACACACACACACACACAGATAGCACCTAGCAGGGCCAGTGTAGCATGTTGAAAGCTCAGATTAATGAGTGGTTACTATGTTAGTATATGATGAGAGAGACAGAGAAAAAAGTTTGAAATGTTATATTCATTCTTTGTTAGTTTGCTAATGATTCGATTGGAAATTGAAAAAGATGCTGATTGAGAATCAATTCTTTACTATTTGCATGGTTGCTGTCTTGTCTAACTTTGAACATAATTATTTTTCTTGTTGAAATAACATCGATCCCATCTCTCTCTCTCTCTCACACGCACACAAACACACAAAATAAATTAAATGGAAGTTATGGAAACACATAGAAACCATCAAAAACTGCACAGTTGTTTGTCTCTAATTCTGTGTTTTTTTCGACGAATGATCGCTGTTTGTACTCAGAGTCACGGTAAAGTTCGTGATTTGTGCGGGAAGCAGGTTTTCTTGATCAAAGCTTGCCAGTTTATAAATGCCATGGTCATGATGGTAGAGTCCACGTAGCACACAATCTGGGCCTCGATGTTTATTTCCATTTCTACATGTTTTTCTCCGAAAATAAAATTTATCTTCTATAAAAATAAATAAATAAAGGTGGTATAAATTTTACTGAAAATTTTTTTGGGCCAAATTTTCAAGAACTATGAAAAAGACAATTATAAACTAACTAAACAAAATTAGTTTGACGAAAATATTGTTAGTTGGGGTATAATTGTCTTTTGGCACAATATATATATGGACAAAAGTGTTTTCATTGTAACTTGAAAAACATATTTGTAATATGAAGCTAAATTTTTTTTACCACAATAGCGTTGACCGTATCTAGCAATTAGTAAAACTAGAAGAGCTGACTATATAAGTGTAACTACTTCCCTTCTTTTTTTTTTTTTTTTTCTTTTACTTTATTTTATTTTATATATTAATTGCACAGAAGTAGCTTTCTTTTATTTTTAGACGTAAATTTAGATTGGACATTATTTAGTGATCTAATTAGTTGATCTGAACTCTCCAAACGAAACATGCCGGTTTTTGAGTCTCCTTCTTATAATTTGTCAAAAAAAAAGAAAAAAAAAAAGAAAAAGAAAAAAGAAAAGGTCAACCTGGATTTACTTGCCAACTTATGGTAGAATTGGGCTAAATGGGTCTATATGGAATCATCAAAAGTTCATGTTGGAGCTCGTAATACTGAAAAGAAATTATTGGACTGGGATTTTATTTTTATTTGTTTTTTATTGAACCTGTTCGTTAACAGATGTAATCTCTTAGCCCAATGTATAGGCCCAAAACAAAGTGCTCAAGACATCTTTCTCATATTTTCTGATTTTTTCACCACTATTTTCAGGAAAGTAGTCGAGGACAATTGGGATTTTACCTAAATACAAAATACAAAATAAGATAATTGTGTGTGCATATGCATGTGTGTGTGTGTATATATATTTTTGCCGGACTTGTGTGTTATCCTCCCCAAATTCCATAATGACAATGACAGGAACCTCTTGTGTTACATGGGCAATTGGTAGCCTGCCACTAGTAGATGAACAATGCAAAATAAGCTCGTGCCTATATGCCTATGAAGTTGTAACAGTAACAGGACTTGAAAGCTTAAGTTGAAATATACTGTAACAAACAACTTGCAGTTGCCCGGGGGCGTAGCAGTGATAGTAAGGTGCTTGCATACGGCTGCCGCGGCCCGTGTTCGAGTCCTCCCAAACCTAATACTTTCTCGACTTACCCGGTGTATCATTGGAGCGATGCTCTACACCCTAGGTTTATAGCCTTGGTTTGGTCCTGAAGGGCCCTGCTGAGGGGAGTTCCCGGTGCTAACCAAAAAAAAAAAACAAACGAAAAACAAAAATTGCAGTTGCAGAAGTCTCAAAATTAGTTGATCAAGACAGATTTTTAGACATCACTAGTAATAAGATGTTCTTGTAATAAAATATGATTTTGTAGAGCAAATGGAAGACATCCTCAATATAGATGGATCTAAGTATACATAAAACAAAGTCATCATTTGCTTGGACAGATCAAACAAAATTCGAGATGATTTGTCTGGGCAACATTAGTACTTCATTTTCATCCAAGGTACATAAAAGCTACTGAACCAAAAGACAAGAAGATCAAAGAAGACACAACAGATAATAATAATGTCACAGAAAGTGGAATATCTCCCTTGTCCTTTCTCAATACCATCCATCCAATCAATTATAGCGTAGTGCATAAATAGGATGAAAAATGAGAGGAAAACTTGTGCAAACATTTCATCCCATCCTCCTTTCAAGGTCACTCTTGCTAATCCTCAAGTGAAAGAAACCATGTTCAGAACCACTCAAGCGACCATTGGCGCCAGAAACCTAGTCGATGTTCGGAAATCAAATTTACCCTTTTGGTATAATCCAACTTGTTCATCACTGACAACTTTATTTGTTGGCATGAAACTAGCTTCTCTCATGCCGATCAACTTCAAGATTGCATCCAAACTTCCATAGACATAGGCTACAACAGATTTTATCATCCAAATTCGCCATTCGTTCCACCAATTCTGAATTGAATCTCCAGTGGACAAGACATCCCATAAATGTTTCAAGAGGGAGGACAAGAAAATGAATGACAATACAACTAACCACGGACTTGAAACCTGTGACAAGAATATGAAGCAATGTTAGTAGTCCACTTTCATCTCTATGTGCTCCTAGCTTATTGTTTGCGCGAAAGAAACCATGATTGTTGTTACCTTGGGGTATATTGGGATGCTATTCAAGAGACACAGCTGTG